GATGGACGAGGGCAAGGACAGCCCTTCCTGTTCGGGTTCACCTGAAAGAGCACCTCCACTGTGCCTGGAGGCCCCAGTCATCCAGGAAGGTGGACTGGGCCAATGGGTTACTCAAGTGTACCTTGCCAAACTGGCCCAGGAAACATCCTCTCAGGACCAAACTTTTGCCCTTGGCAGTTTCTTCTTCCACCTCAGAAACACCCTGGGCAAGTTAATTAAATATCGCCCCTTTTGAGTTTCTTTATGGCAGTCTGTTTCTCACTAATGACCTCATTCTGGATGGTGAAACAGCCAGAGTTACCTCCCACATCACCCAGCTAGCTAATTCTAACAAATCCTAACCAAGTTACACCAAGGCATCTCTCATGCCCCCTCTTCTCCTCCACCCTTTTGTCCTGGTGATTTGGCGCTCATTAAAATTCCTCACGTATCCAGGGAGCCTTTGCAACCCCTATGGGAGGGGCCACACCCAGTGTTTCTTTCCACCCCAACAGGAGTCTGAGTGGCTGGATTGGAATCTTGAATCCACATCTCCAGAGTCAAGCACTGGATTTCGCCTACCAACACAGCCACTGTTAAACCTGCTCCTGAGGAGACTCACTACTCATGCAAGCCCATCTCGGATCTTACATTTTTCTTTAAGAAGACTCCATCAGGAAAGTAACTTATGTCAGATCTCCTCCCCTACCTCTTCATAGCACTCTATCTCACTCTAACCATAGTTCTCAGTATAGGTCTATGGGTGACTTCTCCCTGAGAGTGGACCTGTACACACCACGTGGGGCCCTAGTTTTTGGTTTCCTCTTTCTGTGCTCTCTCCCACCCATAATCCGCCTTACAATATAAGATTTATACTTCTTTTTCTCCCCGTTCTAATGGGACCGGTCCTTCCCCACCACCCATGACCCCTACCATCAACTACTTGGCCAAAATCACTAATCTCCCCAACTGCTGGATTTGTCCCAAGGATCTCTGGGCACAAGATGGGAATTGGGGTTACCAAACTCCCATTTACATGCTCAATTGAATTATTAGGTTACAAGCAGTGGTAGAAAATTATCACCAACCAGAGTGCTTCTGCCTTAGAATTACTTGCCAGACAACAGACCCAAATGTGTGCTGCTATATATCAAAACCACCGGCCTTAGACTATCTTCTAGCTGAGGAAGGGGGTGTTTGTGGCAAACTCAACCATGCAGACTGTTGCCTTCAAATTGATCACAACGGACGAGTGGTAACAATCATTGCCACTAACATCAGAAAAATCACCATGTCCCTGTACAAACTTGGGATGGGTGGAAACCTAACGATTGGCTTGGCATCTCATGGCTTTTTCCTCTCCTGGGACCCATTGCTGTTATCGGAGCTGTCCTGTGCTTTGGTCCAGGCCTCCTTAACCTTCTCATGTGTTTCAATTCTTCTTGCCTAGACTCCATCAAACTCCAAATGTTACTCTGCATTCACACTTACTACCGTGGACCTTTGGACACCCCCTTGGGTTTGGATTCCTGACTCCTGCCAAGGCCCTTCTTTGCCCCATCAGCAGGAAGTAGCTACAGACTGGACCTCGACATCCCATCTCCCTAAGATACGTCAATGAAATGCAGTAGCACATTTGTAGAAAAGACAGAGGTAATCTTTCTATTGCTATTGGTATTGGCTATTTAGGGTCACAGGGATGGAAGCGTTTGGAGAAATTGCAAGAAATGGGCTGGTACTCCAGTGTCTGGCCAGTTTCCTGAGTGTGAGCAGCAGCAATAATGCTGGCAGGTATCCTGAACTCAGCACTATGGGTGTCAACTCCATAATCCAGTTGTAGTTCTCCTAACTATTCCTTTTCCAGACCTTCCATTGATTTTATAAGTATGTATCTTACTCCTTGTTTTAAATTCCTTTATGACTGGCTTCTGCCTTCAGCTCTCGACCATGGTAACACTAGAGTTGATCTGATGATCTGGCTCTCGCACATGTCTCTGATGGCATCAGGACTGCTTCTCAATTCCTGGAGTAAGCAAGGCTTTGCCCTTAACTCTCTGCCACACTAGTTCATCACACTAGTGCATGGAATGTTCTTTCTCCTTGTTTCTTACATATCTAGTCTTTCATGTTCAGGTTAGATGTTATTTTTTCTTTTGTTATTTCCCATGAAAAAGCTAACTCTATCCTATGTTCTCTGCATAGCACTTACTGCTACCTTATTTTTTTGCAATTGCTCACTATTGTCCCTCTCCTCTACAAATATATGTACCCTGGAGTAAGGAGGAAAATGTATCACCTGAAAGCAGATCCAGGGCACATCGGCGCTGCTTAATAAATACTTGGCAGAATGAACCAGGGTTAAATTTGTAAGGAGGGTAAATTTAACTTCTGTTAGAGTTAGTCTATGTTAGCAAAAACTGCCAACTAGTCTTAAGATTAGGTTGAGGACAGTATCATTTTGCCATGAGGACACAGGTGGCAGGATAGCAAATTGTTTTAATACATATTATATTCAACTTTTACTGATAGGAATAAGAAAAACAAATCTCTGAAAACAAGCCCTTTTAAACAGTGCTCCTAGAAAACCTGTCTACACAAAAATCAGGAAGGGGAAAGAAGAGAATTAGTGGGTAGATTTCATTTGGGATTGCCACTTTTTCAAACTACTCTGACTCTTGGAATATCAGGCTGTTGGTTTTTAAGGATAAATGACACTTTTTTTTTGGCTCCCTCTTAGTTCCACTGGTTCCATCTGGTAAGCTCGTTTGGTAAGGTCTCTGGAGAAACAGCACCATCTGCTGGGCGGTGTGCTGTGCACGTGTTAATAATAGGCCAGCGAGGAGTAGTCTTGGTGCAACTCTAAACTTGAATCAGTTAGGCTTAGCAACTGAGGCCAGCCTAAATGGGAAGCCCTGCTACTCCATAACTTCTGAGCAAAACTTGGAAAATCAGTGCTGCTGTAGGAAACAGAACTGAAATAAATCTGGATTAACAGAGCCAGACTTTGAGTCCTTTGGTCTTCTCTGCAAACAGGATGCTGAGAAAATTTAATGTTTTTGTTCTTGTTTGTGGATGTTCCAGGTTTTTTTCCTTTTTCCCTTCCTGAGGTCCACAAACGTATCTGGATTTACCTCCTGGCTCATCTCCAATTTCTTAAGCATTTTTCCTTCCTCTTAGCCAATCTACTTTATCTCAAGTTCTACCAAAGATCCTTCTCCATCACACTTAATTGTGAATGAGCTTCATAGGAGCTAAGAAATATTCCACTCACCTTGTTTTTCCTTCCTTACATGCTCCATTTGGACAAACTGAATCTGACATTCCAACTCTTTCTTGATTCCTGAATCTACTTTTTGTCCTCATTATTCAGTGTAAACTAGTTTCTCTGGAACTTTTTAAATAATGGTCAGTAAATGCCTCTCTACCTCAACTTTCCGCTGACTAGATACTAAACATCTAGCTCCTTTTCCTTTAATTCCTTTCTAATTTAAAGCCTGGTATATATTTTTCTTTCTTTTTTGGGGGGAGGAGAGGTGCTTAGCTATGTAGCTCAGGCCAGTCCTGAATTTGTGATCCTCTTGCTACTGCCTCTTAACTGTCAGGTTTAAAGCTGTGTTCCACCACACCTGATATTTTGCTTCTTTACTTTTCTAATTACTCCTTTACTATTCTGTTCTGCCATCTGCCCATGATCTTGCCCAGAAAATGTATGAAGTTCATCCTTTATTACCATTTGTGATTTTACCATCACTTACATATTATCATTTCTAAGATTTACTTAAGCTCATTTCATTTTTCTACTCTTGTACATTACACACACATTATATATATATTTTGTAGTACCTGGGGGGGGGGTGAACTCGGGGACTTGTTAAGCAGGTGCTCTACCACTTGAGCCACACCCCCAGCCCTTTTTGCTCGGGTTATTTTTGATACAGTTTCCCTTTATGCCCAAGATCACCTAGTGATCCTCGTATTTATATCTCCTTTATAGCTAGGATAACAGGTGCATGCTGCCACACCCAGCTTTTATTGATTGAGAGGCAGTTTTGTGAACTTTTTCCCCCCAGGCTGACCTCAAATAGTGGTCCTCTGATCTTTACCTCCCAAAAAGCTAGGATTATAGGCATGAGCCTATATGAACATATATATATGTCCAGCCCTTTACTCTTATTTTTATACTCTTTAGAATTCTTTTTGGTTGTTCTGGGTTTTACAGAGCCTTTTGCATGCTAGGTAGGTGCTCCACCGCTTGAGTCACACCCCCAGCCCTTTTTGCTTTACTTATTTTTCACATAAGGTCTTGAACTTTTTGCCCTGGCTGGCTTGGACTATAATCCTCCTACTTTAGGATTACACATAGCTGGGACAACTATGTGGCACAATCCACTAGGACAACTTTATTTATTTATTTTTTTTGAGATGGGGGTCTTGCTAACTTTTACCCAGGCTGGCCTTTGAACCAGGATCCTCCCAATCTCCACCATCCAAGTAGCTGGTAATACAGGCACGAGCACCGGACCTGGAGATTTCTTATTAATTATTGGAAGACCAAACATGTCCTCTCATATTTGCAAAACCACCTCCTTTTCCTAATTCAAACTATTCCTAAAACTATTGCTCTAGAATTTATTAGCTTTTCTTAATTAAGAAAGTAATTGCTTCCTTCAAGCATTAATTTATAAAGTTAAAACTGAAGATTCTCAGAAATTCAAGAAACCCCACTCATACACTGAAGCTTACTCCCCAAATAAGATAGTAACCATAAATGTATACATAACTCAAAGGCTAGTCACTGATTTTTCATTGACACTCCATTAAAACACACACACGAGGCAAAAACTAAAATACAATTCTTAGTTTTTCAATTTCTCTTCTGCTTAGTTTCTCTTTTGCTTATGACAGTATGTGGTATAGTCCAGAAATCTATATAAAACTGAGAGAAAAAAATGCTTTTATTAATCACAACATGAAAATGACATGAAATCCTATTAGAATTGAACCAGATAAATAATGCTGTTATAAAATTTACATTTTTCACATCCATTTCAGAGAAAAATATTACATATTAGGGCTCTTCTGGGTGTTATGGACTGATTTCAATAAAACCTTTTTTTAAAAAATAGTAATTAACATATATTCTCAAACTATGCTAATACACAGTTAGAAAGGCAACTGCAAAATCCACGGTGGTAACACCTGGCAGGATTAGGGCTGTTCTGTTCCACATTAACAACACGTCCCTGTTTTGCCCGTTAGATCAGAGAATCTTTTTCACTGACAAAGCAAGTGCCTGCGTGGGTGCATGTGATTAGCAAGGTTCCTCTTAAGTTACTCACACAGAGCCTGACTAATCAGGACTCAAGTGAGCTTCCTCTCCCAGTTTTGCTCTTTTGGAGCAGAAACAAATACCTGTCTTTTGCATAAGGGAGACAAATATGAGACACACTGTCGTAGTCATCTAACTCACAATTAAACAGGGGCAGTGAACTACCATTAGGAATGTCTTGATGCATTGCCAGTTTTTACAACAAGGCTTCTGAAAATCTTCTCAGAACCAGCCTTCCAGTGTGGCATAAACCTGATGAACATCACATACTTGTTCTGTATTTTATCAATTTCTTCTACCAACTACACTCCACACTCAAGGCTTAGTTATGATCTCAAACAGTTTCTACATAGAAAACATCTTTAAATACCTCTTGTTTTCACTGAAGACTTTTTTTCTCACTTATGTGCCTGTGGAAGTTAATTTAAGCACACACATACACACTTGCATATATGTGTGTAAATATAAGTAAGTTACTTTTACATTAGAATAAACCTAGATGCTACCAAGACAACTGCGGAGCAGTCTGGGCTTCCTTAGCAGCCCTCCCCTATGTGGAGGAAGGCAGGTATAGTTCGCTGAAGGACGTGATGAGGCTGTAGTATGTCTTCTCATCATCTGTTAATCCCGCATTGCCAGGTCTCACCACCACAGCCACATGCACATTTGCTTCCTCAGCAGCACTGGCCTCTGTGAAAATCAGAATATATGTCAGAAATGACAAAACATGATGCCCAAGATTTGCAAGAAAGTAATCAGGAATGTGGGAATAGAAGAAGTGAGTTTGGCCCTGATTTTTGCCAAAGCTAGAAGATGAGCACATTGAGATTGACTACATTTTTCTCTTTAAATGTTTTAACTCCAAGTTTAAAAATACCTACCTGTAGTTGAGATAGTGTATCTTATACTTGTGAGCTTATTAGGTACACTGGTTATGAAAGCAGGACACAGCCCTGTTCTGTCCCCTATCTTCCTCCACTCCCTGCATCAAGTCCCCCCAAGCACTGCACTGCTTCTCAAAGGGCAGGCTGTAGGTAATAACACCAATTAAGCAGGTATGGGACAAAGGATTCTATGATCTAATCGGGCTAAAGTACCTCCTCTCACCTCCAGGTCTCAGCATGTCATATCCCTTGACTAGACTGCACATGTCTTTTCCCTGGCAAATTCCTATTCTTCAAAATTCAGCTCAAAACATTACATCCAGAGCCACCATTATCTGTATTACAGCATCCCATGTGCTCCTTTAACACCCTGTATTTACCTCTGTCATGTTATAAATCGACACGTTATTACTTGTTGTTTCTTTCCTAATTAGACTGTGAGTGCCTTAAGATCAGTGACTGTAAGAGTGCATGAATGTGCTTGGGAAAGAGAGAAGTGAGTAGTGGAGAAAGTAAGGTAAGCTAGGTATTGCAGAAGATATCTCTAATCCACCCTGGATTACATCCCTCTCTCCATTTTATTTTGACTTGAAAAACAGCAGCTAATACCTCCTATTAAACTACCACCTACTATGTGCCAGGTACTACACCAAGACCGGAGCTATATGAACAAAACAAAGCTTCTGCCTTCACAGAGCACCCATTCTCTTCTAAGTGTTCACAGCAACCCTGAGGTAGCTAGTATCATCATCCCCACTCTACAGACATGGAAGCTGATAGCTATCAAGTGGTAGTGTTAAAATTTGAAACTGTCAGTCCATGGTCTGTGCCCTGGAACAAAGAAGAGAAAACTACAGACTGCCATGTACTTTTGTTTCAAAAAAAAGGTGAAGGAACACAACACACCCAATCATTTTTGTATTGTTTTTGCACTATAAGGACAGAGCTGAACAGCTGTGACATAAATGAGGACTGCAAAGCCTAAAGTATCTGCTACCTGGCCCTTTAGAGAAAAAGCTTGCCAACTCTTGCTCTAAGCCACTACATCCCTAGGGCACTACTACTTCAAGTGTGAACCATGGACCAGCAGCATGGGAATCACCTGGAAACTTGTTCAAAATGTATCTGAGGCCCTCAACTGTAACTGCTGAAGAATCAGGGATCACATGATTCTCCTGCAGAGTAAGTTTGAATCAAATGTTTCAAGGAAACATTTTCTTTCAAGGAAAGAAAACTGGCAGAAGGATAAAGTATTCTAGGCAGAAATAAAATACACATGCAAATGGTGGAAGAATGGAGCAAGTTAGAGAGGGAAATAGGACACAGGTCTGTAATAAGACAGATGAGGCTTATTGCGACTGAAAAATCTGGAGCACATTCTGTGGAGTTTCAATTTGGTATCATAGGGTCCCAGTAGCTTCTCAACCTTTGGAAAAGAGTTGCATCTGAATGATTCACTAAAGGACAGCAGTGCTGAGAGAGCGGAGCTGTTCCTGGAGAGACTCCTCTTCCTCCCCACCTCCCCCATTTTCTTTATGTGAGTGATTAAATAAAAGCAATTCACAAATTAAGTATTTATCTTATACTCCTCTTATGAAGGGACTGTTCCCTTCCCAGAGTCTCAGACATAGCAAGTGCTAGAGTCCTCTCTACACGCAGGAATGCCATCTTCAGGCAAACTGCCAATGCCATTCACCCCAGTAGAAGAGGCAGCTGCTTCTGCTCAACCCGACCTCCCAGCCTGACCTCCTTAAGCAAAGCTTTCACTTGACCACCACTCCAGGATCTCCACCAAGTTGTGCCATCACAATCTCCACTTATTAGGACTTGACACTAACTGTTCAGTCTCTGCTGGTACAATATTGAGGCACTGAAGTAATACTTAAAACTCTGGATCCCTTCTTTTTCTCCAAGGAGGAAGTCTTTTTGTTCCCTCTTTCATACTTGGGTATCATTTGCGATATCAACTTAGGCTCCTGCTCTGCCTTGGCAATGGGAGTCTGGACCTCTGGTACCAAAACACAGGACAAGAGATGACAGAAAAGAGCAAGGCAAGCAGCCAGCTACCTGGCTTATCCCAGCTGTAGACAGAGTATCCAAGTTCTGACACTTCTGCCTAATGGGGCATGGAGCTGGCAGAGGATGAAAGGCAAAAATAACACCTTCTTATGGAGGACTAAGGGAAAGCTGATTCATTTTGAGGCCAACTTGGGGATCATCTCTATTCTTTAAAGTTATGAATAACTTCTGGAATTGCAACTTAAGGAAATGGCTGAAGTAAAAAAGTGACTATAGGCTCATGCCTGCAGTCCTACCTACTCAGAAGGATTGCGGTTTGAAGGCAGGTGGGGCAAATAGTTCATTAGACCCTATTTGGAACATACCCAACACAAAAAAAGGCTGGCAGAGTGGCTCAAGTGGTAGAGTACCTGCCTAGCAAGTGTGAGACCCAGGGTTCAAGCCCCAAATTATGGCAAAAAAGAAGTGACTAAAGAGAATATGAAGAAAGAAGCCTTAGGAGAGGAGCTATATTTATATTTTGTGTGTGTGATACTGGGGGATTCATGCTTGCTAGGCAGGCACTCTATCACCTAAGTCACTCCGCCAATCCTAAAATTAATCATTACTATAACCAAAAAGCTGGATATGATATAGCAAGGGTCTGGGGATTAGAAGCTGAACTGTGCATTCAAATTCAAGAATTGACTGACTAGGTGTGGAATTCCAGCCCTAATGCTAGCTAAGGGCTAAGGATAAAGCTCAGTGGTACAGCACTTGCCTAATATGTTAGGGTCCTGGGTTTGATCTCCGGCACCACCGAAGTGCTAGGGTAATTAAATGTAAGGCAACTATAGATTTTCATCTCCAGCAGTTTCCTTTATGTGAATGATTTAAAAAAAAAAAAAAAGTAATTCACAGATTAAAACAGCTAACCTCACTAGAACAAGGTCTATTTCCTTTCCATTTGGAGCAAAACATAGTAAAAGTTCTAAAAATTATCATTCAACAGAAAGTGCTGACAACCCCAGCCTTACAACCTCTGTACCTACTACTATAAGGCCCCCCAAATCACTCAAGGGTATACTGTAGCTTCAAATATGTAGAAGTTGTTACACAGAAATATGGTAAGTGAGCACAGTAATGTGACACACACCTGTAATCCCAGCTACAAGGAAGGCACAGGTAGAACTGCAGTCTGAGGTTGGCCATGAGCAAAAAGACCCTATCTGAAAAATAACGCAGAGCCAGGCGCCAGTGGCTCACACCTATAATCCTAACTACTTGGGGGACTGAGATCATGAGGACGGTGGTTCAAGGCAAGCCCCGGCAAAAAGTTTGTGAGATCCCATCTCAATGGGATAGAAACACATGCTTCTATCATCCCAGTGACAGCAAGAGCAGGGGAATCATGATCCAGGCCATCTGGGCAAAAACAAAGAGCAAAAAGGGCTGGAGTGTGGCTCAAGTAATAAGTGCCTGCCTAGTAAGCATAAGGCCCTGAACTCCAGTACTGCCAAAAAAAAAGAAGAAAAAGAAATAAGCTAGGCAAACATTTACAATACCTTTGCTGTTCAGAGTAGAGGCCAGGTGAAACAGTACATGCATTTCACATGACCTGGCCACCTCGTTATACAATAAACCTTGGCTTGTGCATCTGTCTTCTTTATGTGAATATAAAGTTTTCCAGGAAGCAAAAAGATGCGCACAGAGTTTACAGAATCCCTTGCTTGCACTTTGAAGCTGAACCAAAGGCTTGGTCAAATCTCAAGTTAACAAACTGCAATGAATTGGTACTGCCTACCTAGATCAAAAATTCCAGTCAATTTACCAAAGACTGAAATTTAGCCAAGACAGTAAGAATTACTGAATGTCTACTCTTTGACAGTGACTAGTTAAGTATGTTCTACTTGTATTTTTTTGGAAAAGGATATTAAATGTCTGAAGGCATTAGATGATCTATGCTGGTTAACATTTAAAAAAAAAAAAACAGCTTAGTAAACTAGTACCTGCTCATATACCTCCACGCCTTGCCTATCACAAGGAACCAAAAGCTCAAAGGCCAGCAGAAGAGAAAGAATACAGTTCATACATACTACTTCAGGTAAGAACTTTTAGTAGCAGCTTGGATGCTCCTTTGGGCCTCACCTTTGATAGTCCCAGCCAGTGAAAGTAGCTGTTTTGTTCTGGTTTTTTTCTAGTAGCTTCTGTGACAACAGAAAGGAAGGAACAGAGACTAATATTGCTCACAGACCACTGAGGCTGTCTCCAAGATGCCCAGTAGGCTTACTAGGAGAGCAACTCCTGCCCTCTGCCTCTTTCCCTAGTGCCCTTGCTAAGCTTGCTATCGCAGACAGTCATCATAACAGCTGTGCAGTACACAAAGCCAGAGCAATTTAAATCCAAGGTAGAAATGAATGAAACATACATATGCAGAACTGTCCTCAAATACAAGTGAAACTATAAGCACCAAGGTTAGCCCACTGGGAGAAACATGAACTAAACAGAATGACCCACAATCAAAAGGTGGAACCAAGAAGGGAAGTATGGGAAAGCCTCCCAAAACAAGGGTTTTGCAGGTAATCACCAGAGACCTCCACCACCTCTCCACCTGTGCTTCTTGTCTTCTCATTTGCTACTCTCCCTGATAATTCTCTAACACATTCTTACACAGATGCTGGAGCGTGGGTTTTCAATGGCGTCTGCTGCGAAAATCATTTATAGTTCCAACAAAGTAACAAACACTGCTTCATGCATTCAACCCTTAACGCCATGTTGTGGAGTTTTCCATTTCTAGAAACTGAGTTGCCTTGCACTTAGGATGCTGAATGGAAGCTGAAGCCATAATTCCTGCATGGTCCCTCCAGCCAGCCAGGCCTCTCAGGTGAGAGCTGCACCCAGGCTGCGGATGTGCTCTAGCAGCCAAGACTGATGGTACAGGTTCACTGTGACTTTACTGTCCTTAACTAACCACCCTTGCCCTCATGTCCTGCCTACATGTTTCTTCCTGTGATGATACCCTGGAGTCTTCCTTTGTTACATTCCCACCATCACTAATGTATATGTGTGAGGAACCATGAATAAAGTTAATAGGAGTAGAATCAGCCTTTCCGGTGTCACTTCTTCACACCCCCAAGAATTGGTGGATGGAGAGGAAGGTGGGTCAAGTGGTCCATTGTTTCTTTTTATACAATTATTTTATTTTTCAAGGATCCCCTAAACTTTCCTTAAAGATATGCATTTGTGGGTGGTAAGGGAGGGGGTGGGGGCAGGGGGGAGAAATGAACCAAGCCTTGTATGCACATATGAATAATAAAAGAAAAAAAAAAAAAAAGATATGCATTTGTAGTGTCAGGTTCAGCTCCTCCCCCTGGAGTATGTAATATAAGTAAACCAAGTTGGGAGTGGTGGTATGTGACTGTAGTCCCAGCTTCTCAGGAGATTGAGGTGGGAAGAACACTTGAGCCCACGAGTTCAAGGCCTGCTGGAAAATGTAGCAAGACCTCATCTCAAAGAAAAAAGAGTCTAATTACTCACCCAAAGTAACATCTGTCAGAAACAAGATGTTGTTGGTGGAGCAGCCAATGCTATCTGCAATCTTCCGATAACTCTCACTCTCTACTTTGTGTCCAATCTTGGTATCAAAGTGACCATCAACAAGCTGAACAAAAAGAAGGACAAAGACTAACACTATGAACATACTTGCAATACACCAAATCCCTTTTATCTGAAATAAAAGCAAGTTTAGTGACTATTCATTCTGTAACTATGTACTGAAAATCCACCTTAGAGAGAATATTATGGAAGCTCTGAATGTATAAAGATTTTACAGTATAAATGTTTGGAAGAAGAAAGCTACCAGTTTGACACACCATATATAAGATTATAAGTCACTTGGTTTATGTTAGCATTCTTTTTACATTCAGAATCGTTTAAGATATCCATGCTCTACATTCTATCCTTAAAATATGACCTGCATTCAAACCACTTATTAGATAGAGTTTAACTCCTGATGAAAGGCTCTGAACACTCTAACCTGCCAAATTAGTAATGCTGCTACTTTACTTTCAGTTTCTAATTAAACTTTTTTCTGGCGGGGGTGGGGAGAGGGGAACAGGGTCTCTCTATGTAGCTCAGGCTGGCCTCAAACTCAAGATCCTCCTACCTCTACCTCCCAAATGAGGGAATTATTTTTTTATTTCTACATTTGTGCTAGTATACATCTTGGACATAATTGGAGTCAAGTGTGCCAATTTAACCAACAGTAATTAAAAGAGATCCGTATTTTGGGAGGATTACAGTTTGAAGCCAGGCCAGGCAAAAAGTTAATGAGACCCCATCTCAACCAACAAGCCAGGTGTGGTGGTACATGTTTGTGATCCCAGCTACATGAGTTCTCATAGGTAATTATCATGTCCTATATATTTTCACCTACTGCCTGTTTCATTAGAGAGAACAGAAGTTTCTACCTGTATTCAGAGAACAGTCATCAGTGAATAAAGGAATTTGTTATTGGTTTAATATTTTATATAGAAGATGCAAAGTAGAAAAGTACACTAAAACTAGAATGTGACAACCCCCAAAGCCAAAGTGTTCTTTGCACACAGTAGGGGCTCCATATATTACCACAGGGCTGTGGATGTGGTTCACTGGTGGAATGTCTAACTCTCCATACTCCACATTTAAACTGTTAGCTAGCCAAACTGCATACTGTACTTCACTATGTTGAGCCTGAATTCAGTTAGTCAACAATGCGTGTGAGGTGCCTGGCAGGTGAATCTAGGGCCTCGTGCATGCTAAGCGTGCTTTACTAAAGGTACAGTCCTAGCTTCAGTCAGCACTCTTCTTTATGAAGTCTTTGTCACTTTTTGGGTGGTGCTGGGATTGAACTCAGGGCCTCATGCTTGCTAGGCAAGCGCTCTACCACTTGAGTCACACCTGCAACCCTTTCTTTCTAATGTCTTACATGTATTCCCTTCTTCTACAAACTACCCCATCCTCCAGAGTGTACAGGGTGTGACACAGAGAGACTAGCAGGAATTTTCTCATGTATAGGAAATGTATATGTAATCTTCTTGCTGTTTAGTAATAAGCACAATTCTCTTATATAATGATGCTGTTTCTTCTGAAATAAAATTCTATCTCTCCAAAGTACCAGATATAAGTGAATCTACCTTGTTTGTGCTCTGTTGCATTCAAGAAGTCTTTAAAGTCCTGAGTTCAAATCCAAGTACTACCAAAACAAGGAAAAAAACAAGAACTCTTTATAGGGCTGAGCAATAGCTCAGTGTTAAGAGTGCTTGCCTAGCATGGACAAGACCCTGCTGGGTTGATCCCCAGCACTATAAAAATAAAGAAGTCTAAGTGGGGGCGGGGGGTGTAGCTTGGTGGTAGAGTGCCTGACTAGCATGTGCACAGCCCTGGGTTAGACACCCAGAAAAAAAAAAAAGTCTTTATCATTTCTTAAGACTGTGCATAATCCTTTTTTATATCTTAACTAATTTTATTACTTTTTTCAAGACATAGAGTAAACTATCAATTTTACTTAAGAAACTATAAAGACAATATAATTAAGTGATCAACTGTTTTCTTCTTACCTGATTTTAAACAAACCAAGAGAATTCCATTAGTTTCTTTTGTTGATGTTCTAATAGCTAGTTCTTGACTTTCTAATATTGGCAAGGTAAGTGATTTACATGCTAACTCTAAGCTATATACATCCGTATTTTTACACATACATAATAGCTGGTTCTAGTACTATCCTTCTCAGAATCACTTAGGATAGATGTTTAAATGCAGACTGCAGGCCAACACCAGACCTATCAATCCAGACTTTCTATGAAGCAGAGTCCAGAAATTTTTTTTTTTTGTTAGAAAGGGTCTTACTATGTTCCCAGGCTGGCCTCAAATTTGCTATGTTGCTCAGGCTGGTCTTGAACTCACAAGCCTACCTCAGCCTCCTGTTAAGGTGTGAGCCAACCATGCCAGGCTTGGAATCAACATTTTGAACAATCTCCCCAGGTGATCTTTATGCTTAAAAAAAGAGACTTTGATTCACTAATTGGTACCACAGAAAACATTTTACCCTTCCTTAATGTATTGCCCAGTTTCTCCATTTTACAACCAGTTTAAGCACATAGAAATACAATTATCTGAATGCTGATTTAGCTTACACCATTCAATTTCCTGCTTTGATAGTGTCAAAACAAAACAAATGAGTAACCTACCTCAAGAATATCTCCCTCTGTAGAATGCCCAAACAATAGCTTCTGTGCTTCCACACTCCCTGAAGAATAGATGTACACCTTTATCCCAGCCTCTCTCCACTTCCTGACTGCTGGAACTACATCTGCAAAGAACCTAGTGGGGAAAACCACAAAGTTACAAAGCATTAGTTACATTAGCATCTAGCCAGATGAAATCCATAAAAAACAGATGCCGGCTTCTCTGTTTGTGCCCAAATGGTAACATAAGGAGCAACTCCATAAACATGCAAACTCCTACTCCTGGAGTTTCAGGATCCTGGCAGATTAAAAGCAACAATCTGGGTGAAGACAACAGTTTTACTGACAAAAAAAGAGGGGTTATAGATAAATGGATGAACTAAGGAAGTGATTTTTTCTTTAATTCTCAAGGAACTCAAAAGAAAGCAAATGACAGCAGTACTATTGTATGATTACATAATCTTTGATGTAATCTGTGGTAAAAAAAGGTTAATCTATGCCCTCTGCGCTTTAAGAAAGCATGGAAATGCTTTTAGAAAGGTAAGCGCCCAAAACAAAAGAAAAAGTGGGAGCTCAATCTTAAGGAAATCTACAGTTTCACTATACAGAAAACAAATTACAGAACAAATGAGTTAAGAGACTTGTATCATCTCATTTTAGCCAATCAGTAAACAGCATTTGGTTTTCTGGTCCCTGACCCTCGGTTACTTTTATCAATTCTACAGTACCCTCCAAAGTCAGTGGAGGAAATATCACAGGAAATAAGTGAAAATGAAAAGAAAAGCATGAGGAACTTGGAATGAGGAACCAGTCTTCCTCTTTTCTGAGGGGGAGTAGGGGGTGGGGGGGTGGGGCGCAGTACTGGGGTTTGAACTCAGGGCCTTATACTTGCTAAGCAACACTCCATCACTTGAGCCAATCCCCCAAGCCCTTTTTGCTTTACTTTTGTTTTTAAATAGGATCTCTTGCTTTTGCTTGATCCACCTATCTCAACCTCTTGAAGCTGGAATTACAGATGTACATCACCACCATGCCTGGCTTGTTTCTTGAGATAGGGTCTGATAACTTTTTGCCTGAACTAACCTTGAACCTCAATCCTTCTAGCTCCACCTCCTGAATAGGTAAGATTACAGGCACAATCATCATGCTCGGTTTGTAACCAGTCCTCTTTGAAAGATTAATTGAATTGTGGATGATTGAAATAAAATTTATTTTAAGAAAGATTAACTGGAAAAAGCCAAAGAAGTCTTCTAATGAATAAAAAAAATAGGTTAATATGCTGCATTAGCAGAAAGACAAGTTCAAAACCAGTCCTTATCATTGTCAGGTGTTACTTTGGATTTTTCTGTGTAACACCTCCAGATTGTCATTGTTCCAAAGCAGAGTTTGAGAAGTTTAAGGTAATTTATTCTAAGTCTCTGCCTTATAATTAAGGAACTAAGAGAAGAAGTAACTACTGCAAGCACAGTCTCCAGGCTCAACACTTCTGAGTATTTTACAGAGTGAACGACTTGGTATTCCTAGATTATTGGCATATCCTGAAATTTCACCACATCTTTTCAAAGGTAGAAATCCTTTTGGCATATATAAAGAATGACATCTCATTTGACAAAATGAAATACATGTAATACAAAAGAAATATGGGTAGCTGGAAACAGTCTTGGATCTGAGTGTTTACATCAGGCCATGGCCTAAAATCCTTTGAGACAGTATCTTATTAAGACGCTCAGGTAAGCCAAGAGTGGAGGCAAAAACCTGTAATCGCAGTACTAAGGAGGTTGAGGCAAAAGTTCAAGACTATCTTGGGCTATACACATGTTAAGTTCAAGACCAGCCTGGGCTACATAGCAAGACCTTGCCCCACAAAAAACCAAAATGGGAATTTCTCAGGAATCCCCATAACCAAGACTCAGAGGTTCTGTTGAAGGTGCTCAAAAAACACAGAAGAAAAGAGCACTCAGCTGGCGCTGTGCTATGAGTCCATAATTTCACAGCATTCTCAGGTCTCTTATCAGAACAAAAAGTGAGTAAGCCAATGCTGCTGGGAAACAGACCAACAGTGCTATCACGCGTGTGCTGCGAATCAAATAAGATAATTCAAGGAAGTTGCCATTTTCTAGGGAGCTGTTTCAAAATAGGAACACAAGTCCTTCAACCACCCACAAATCCAGCTATATAGGTCTGGGGGACTGAGCCAAGTGAAAGGCTTTAGCCCAGCTAAAGAAACAAACTTACTTGTTAGAATAAAAACAATGATTTTACCTATTTTACAAAGCCTGTGACCTACAAGGGAGAGGACTAGGGAAAATGTTTGAAGTTGGGGCTGGTGAGATGATTAGTGATTGGACACTTACTCTGCTTTCACGCGCCCAGCTGTGAATGCTGCCCTCCACATGTGGCCCTGCAGCTGCTTGAGTGCCGTGGTCTTTCGGTCCAGAGACATCTGCCAGCACACATTATCTACCACAGCCTGGATCATCTGTTGTGCGTCATCCACCCCATTCCCAGAGGCTGCCGGGATCGGAACAGCCCCCTCCAGGTGAGCATCTTCTTCAGCCTTTGAATTACAAACAACATGAAGTTTGTTTCTTGTATATTTTTAAAAACATCATTACAAATGAGACCCCTAAAGCAGGCAGACCAATTTTCTCCAACTGTCATTAGCTCAGAACTGCTGCAAATAGTTCTTAAAAGAATGCTCCCTAGAAGAAATGGAATTATAATTTCATACGTTTACATTGCCTTTTAAAGATTGCTAAAGCTGAGATTTAAATCAAGAGGTATGCTGCATGTGAGAGAAAAAGCATAATGATTTAAGAAGACCTGGTTTGTTGATTCACTCAGCAGGATCAACAAACCAAGATTTCAATAAAATCTGGTAATTTTCTCTGCAATATAACTGAAGAAGAAACAGAAAATATCAAATTAGTTTATGACTGGAATTCAGTGAAAAGAAACTAATGAAGTAATAGGATTGGTTCAATTCAGCCTCCTACAATCTCCCACATGTTGCAAAAACCCTAACAGCCATTTAGAAGAGACCTGTGACAACGCAATCCAGTCTCTAAAGAAATAAAAAAAGAGACTGTGTGTGTATGGGTCTGTAAGGGTTAAAGAGATTGTGTGTGTATGGGTCTGTAAGGGTTAAAGAGACTGTGTGTGTATGGTCTATAAGGGTTAAAGAGACTGTGTGTGTATGGGTCTATAAGGGTTAAGATGATTAAAAAAGGTAAGGGAGGGAAGTATTTCAGATCAACCTTGACTTATCCAGACAATTCAATAATCCCAAATACCCCATAACTCAAAGGACATGACTATATTTCTTTCTTTTTTTTAAATTTATTTTGTGACTATATTTCTAACCCCAAATTAAGTAAAAGATTTAATGAGAGCATTCTACCATATCTAATGTTAGGAAACCCATTAGTGCTGTACAACATGGAAGATCTTTGCCACTGAAATAATTTTAATAAATCAACAAGAGTTCCAAAGTACACAGCATGGAAGAAGACAGATGAGGAATGCGGGGGTGGAGAGAAGCAGAATGACGACATGACACCAAGTTAGATCTGAAGGCTGGGTCAGAGGTGAGCTGGGTGGGAAGCCTGGAAGGGTGTCAGGGTTGAGGGTTCATGCCATAAGGCATGGGAGTGGAAAATGGCAAGGTGCTTTCTACTTGGTGACATTAATGAAATATGTAATAAGACTACATAAAATCTTTCATATTCTACCCAGAAAGGGCTTAGTTTTACAAGTACATCATGTTTTTATGCATTTGAAACGGCTCCTGGAAGAGGTAATTCTACAGACAACACACCGCAGTGACCTGGCTGTTTAATTATGCACTGTGAATTCCTAAGCAGGCAAGTCACTGGAACTTCCATCCCCAGGGAATCCAGGGTCCTGATTTTACAATATGCTCAGGGCATGTTCAAAGTCAAGTAGCCTCCATTCTAAGACACTGGGGAATGTGGAAGAGAAATGTCCTAACCTGTTTCCTCAAAAGACTGACATCCTGCTGGCACTCCTCCTCTTCCCAATGTGTCTGTAGATATTCTTTAACATTTTCCTTGACGTAAGGAAATAAAATGTCCTGAACAAAAGAGGAAAAAAAGAGTTAGATTTTGTCAACTACCACACGAAATGCATTTCTATAATCTCACCTTAACATAGATTCCATTAACCAATGGAATGTTTAAGGAAAACTGCTGCTGTCGTTAAATGAGGGTAGAAACAGAGACTACATCTACCTTACCTGAGTTCAATTCCCAGTACCGGGAGCGGAGGGGACACACAGAATAACAACAACCAAAAACTGGGTTCAATGAAGTTTCTGTGCTAATAAGATCATCTCTAAGGCCCTGAGTTCAACACCTAGTACCACCATTAATAAATAAATAAATGATAAATAAAATAAACAAATAAATAAATGGAACAAGTGAACTAGAACAGGAATTGGCAAACTACTACCCGAGAGTCAAATCTGGTCTTGCTTTTATTAACAAAGGTTTATTAGAGCACAGGCATGCTCATTTATTTACATAGTGTTTCACTATTTGGGGGTTACAATGTCAAAGTTGAGAATTTAGACTAAGACCATATGGCCTACAACATATTTGCAACCAAGTGCTTTACAGAAACATCTGCCAACTCTTGAACTACACTGCTAGATCACACATCCTTGAGGGCATGGATCAAGTGTGTCTTGCTCCCAGCAGTATCCTCAATGTACACCAACCATGGTATATAACTCAAACATCTGCTGAAAAAACGGTGACCATGCTAGAACATTTAAAAATAAAAAATGTGATCACCATGATTCTTTCTTGGTAATGAGACTACCTATAGAGTACCCTGTGAGAAAGTGATATGCAAAAAAGAGGGGTGCAGAGAAGGGAAAAAAAAAAGAAAGTGATATGCAAAACAATTTACTAATAAACAACGTACATTAAGAACAAGATTTCTCAACTGCCAAAAAAAATTGTATTTATTTACTTGGTGTTGTGAATTGAATCCAGGGCCCTGTGTGTACTAAGCATGAGCTCCACCAACGAGCTCCACCTTCAGCTCCTCTTTGGTCAAAATGCTTACATTTATGTAGTTGTATATACACCTTTCCAAATCAAATTATGATACATTCAACAATTTCTTTTTAATATTTATTAATTGTGAAGGTATGCTAATCCTTGAGAGGGACATGAGGAAGTGAATGGAAAAGATAAATAAATCAGTCTTTACTGTCAGTAAGTTTAAGAAGGTGGTCAAGGAAAATGAAAGGTAAATACATTATCCTGCAACGCAATAGGCAAGGCAACCACAGTATAGTGAGATGTTGCATAAATCCAGGGTGTAGTGGCTCAGCAAAAGTGTTAAAATAAGCAGTCCAAAAAATCAGAAGGTAGGACACAGTGGTTCATGCCTGGAATCATAGCTACACAGGAGGTGGAGATATAAAGATCACGGTCTGAGACCGGCTTGGGCAAAAGTGGGAGACTCCATGTGAAAAATGGCTGGGAATATGGCTCAAGTGACAGAATGCTTGCCTATCAAGTGCATGGCCCTGAATTCAACCTCCAGTCAGTACTACCAAAAAAACAAAAACAAAGTAACGCAGAAAATGAGTATGTGCTATGAGTGTACAGACCAAGTATACAATGCAGAGAAAGCATTCCATCTTAAGAGAAACTCTGTAATTAAGTATAATTCAAGAAGTCTGCTTAAATTTACTCATTTATTTATTTAAATATTTACTGAATGCCTCATATAAGCAGGCCCTAATAAGAACTGCAGATATAATCATGAGCAAAAACCATGTTGACCCCTAATCTCAAGGAGCCTAATAGAAATATATATTTAACATAAAAAGTACTTTATCTTTTTTGCTGTTGCTGAGATAGGGGCTTACTATGTAGAATACACTGGCCTTAAACTTGCTATATTCCTGCCTCAGCCTCCCAGGTGTTGGATTACCATCATGTTCAGTTAAAAGGTACTTTAATAAATGGTACAAGTAAGAGTACATCATACTATTAGAGAATAAAAATGGATTTTGACCTACTGAGCAAGTTCAGGGAAGGCTTTGCTAGAGAAATAACAACAGAACTGATATTTAAAGCAATGGTTCTCAAAGTATGACCCAGGACCCATGGGAGTCTGAAACCCTTTCAGAAAACCTGTGAGGTCATACTACTTTTATAAAAAGATCTTAAGATGTTATTTGCCTCTTTCACTTTCCTTCTTCCCAGGGCCACAAAACTGTGAGGTCTCACAAAGGACCAAATACCGGTAGGAGAATCCAGATGTCTTCAATAGCAAACAGTCAAGCACTGTACAAAAATGTACAATGCCACTCTTTTAATCGTGTTTTCCAAAGCAAAAGAAAAAAATTATTTTTCATAACAATATGTTATTTATTCATGCTAACAAAGTAGTGGGGTTTATTGTTGCTACATAAAATGCGGCAGAAAGCTAGCAGAATAGCTCAAGTGGTAGAGCGGCAGTCTGGCAACCATGAGACCCTGAGTTCAAACCCACAACTACCAGAATAAGATGAGGCAGAAGGATCTACATGGCAATGTCAGCAAGACCCTGTATCAAAAACAAAATTCAGGCCAGGCAATGGTGGCTCACACCTGTAATTCTAGCTACTCAGGAGGCAGAGATCAGGAGGACTGTGGTTCAAAGCCACCCTGGGCAAACAGTTCCGCAAGACTATTTCAAAAAAGCCCTTCCCATAAAAGGGCTGGTAGAGTGGCTCAAGGTGTAGGCCTTGAGTTCTAGGTCCAATATCATGAAAAAAAAGACTCAAACAAAAGGGCTAGGGGCATGGCTTAAGTGGTAGAGCACTTGCCTAGAATGCACCAACGTCTGGGGTTCAATCCCTAATGCTACCAAGAAAAAAAAAAAAAAAAAGACAATAAAGGAATGCTTAGCACAGTACTACTTTGTTATTGTAATAATAAAGAAATGAAACAGCTTAAATTTTCAGCAGCTGGAGAATAAAAGGTATTTATTATATAACACACAAGAATACACACACACACACACACACACACACACACACAAGAATTTAAATTCTAATGTATAAATAACATTCCAATACAAAATAGGATGTACTCAGGGCCTCAGTTGTCAGTACTGGGGGTTGAACTCAGGGCCTACTGCTTTCTAGGCAAGTGCTCTAACGCTTGAGCCACTCTACCAGCCCACAGGGCTGCAGTTGTGTGATGTTTTATTTCTTTAAACTAAGATCTGAAGCATAGCATCAAAATCTAGGTGGTCAGTACATGGGTATCATTACATAAACCTTTATTCTTGCCTACTCAAAATACTCCACAATTGGACTGGAGGCATGGCTCAAAGGGTAGAGTGCTATCTAGCAAATGCCAGGCTGAGTTCAAACCCCAGTACCACAACCCCACCCCCACCTCCCGCAAAAAAACCCAAACCATCCACAATGGAAAACAAACAAGCCAACTCTGTCCTACACCTGCTTCTTTCTTATCTGGTCATCTTCCTCCAGTGTCCCCAACTCCCAAGAACTAGAAACACTACTAGGTGGCAGTGCTGGTTAGACTCAGGGCCTCCCAGTAACAGAAGAGATGAAGTACTCAGAAGTTTTAAAAATGAATGCAGTGTTTTACAAAGTTCAATTTCCTATTTCCAGCTTTATTGGTAGCAAGAACAACTCATGAAAAGCCTACAAATCCAGTGACCATATCCTTAATCTCTGCTGGAGAGAAGGTAACAGCCTCTAGGCACCATCCAGGTTAGGGCTGGACCTCTGCATTTTGCTAGCTGTGTTCAGGTAACTTACACAAGCTGAGTCCAGTTTCCTCGTCAGTCACAAAGGAATGACAGCATATGGCAGTCATGGCAGTAACCAGAGACAGTTTATGGAAGGACCTTACACCTTATTGCTAACTATATCCTATAGCACAGACATTTAAACTGGGCAACGATCACCTTTTCCTCAAATTTATTGATAAAAGTGGGGACCCAAATGACAAATGAGAAGCACAACTGTATTGGTCAGCTTTGCATTGCTGTGACAAAAAACCTGAGGGCTTCAGAGATTTCAGTTCATGGTCACTTGGTCCTGTCGCTTGGAGCCTGCAGTGAGGGAGAACACCGAGGCAGCAAGTACATGGGGCAGAGGAGGCTGCTCACCCTGTGGCAGCCAGGAAGCAAAGACAGAAGAGGCCAGGGTCTCAATATGCCCTCTTCAAGAGCACACTGTCAATGACTTCCTCCAACTAGGACCCATCCAACTAGGACCCACCACTTCCTAACAGCATCATCAACTGAGGACCAAGCCTTCAACACATAAGCCTATGGAGGACATTTAAGATCCAAATCGTAATAGCCAACTCACTCATTCAACATTTACTGAAGCCTACTAAATGCCAGATGCTTCTGATAACGGAGTTATGAATCACAGCCACTCTTTCAGAGAACTCACACAACTAAGGGGCAAGGTTTCAAACAATTTCTAACTTTCGAGGAAAGCTTTAAAAGCTGGAAATTTCTAGTCACCCAATTTGCCCCTTCTTCCCAACTAAAAAACTTCTCTTTGTACTGGGTAAACACAGGAAGCCAGGTGATGTGACTAGAATTTGGTGTAATATCTAAACATGTAGAATATTTATCGCATCTGGGATCAATACATTAGCAGACTGTTCTATTCTAGTGCAGTGTTAATATATAGCATAAAAACACAGCACAATTAACTAAATTGTGACAATTTTAATCATTCTTTCAACACACATTTGTTAAGCTTCTACGTAAGAAAATAAAATATCTTTAAACTTTTTTTGTTTTTTGCAGCACTGGGGTTTGAATCCAGGACCTCATGCTTGCTAGACAAGAGCTCTGATCTCTTGAGCCACTCTTGGCCAGCCCTGTTTTGGGATAGGGTCTCCTGAACTTATGAAAAATGTGTGGCAATTAACCCAGGATTCTACAAATGAATCTGTGGCTATCTTCCATGCACCAGGCACCAAAAGGGCTGCTAAGGTAGTAGAACATATAACAAAAGGGTAGAAAACTACGAGAGTGCTTGCCTTTCAGGGGCTATGATCACATACTCCTAAA